GAAGACAAATTAAATGATGAAACTAGCGGCAATAAAGTTAGAAAGCATTTGCTCCAAAATGCATCTCTGCTCGGGCATCTGGAGCAAGCTAATCTTGTGCAAGACGACACTTGTTTCATCGAATTTGGAGCTGGAAAAGGTACATTTCAATTGTAACGGTATTTGCTGATTCTCTTAAATTTTTTATTTTAATGAAATTTCATTTTTTTACTTGTCGAACAATTCGTTATTATTTTTAATGAATCACGCTATACAATGTACTAAATGAAGTCGTACTTTAAACAGCTCAGTTAACATATTGGTTGGGACAGATTATAAAGGATAAGTCAAACTCTTGCATATTACTAATCGATCGTTCTAGTCATCGGCACAAAAGCGACAATAAGCTTAAGAGAGAGGAAAGTCACTTCGCAGTAAAAAGGATACGCGCCGATATTGCTGATCTGCAGCTGAATCAAATCTCTGAGATCCAGCCGATCAAATACAAGGTCGGCATAGCAAAGCATCTCTGCGGAACAGCCACTGGTACATTCATTTTGTCACTATTGACAATGTTTTATTTTTGTTTTATATTATAATCGATGGCAATGATATTTCAGACTTGGCAATTCGTTGTTTAGTAAAGTCGATGAATAGCGAACCCAAGGTCAATGTACGCGGTCTAATCCTCGCGTTTTGTTGTCATCATAAGTGCGAGTACTCGTCATACGTGGGCAGGAAGTACTTGCAACAATGTGGCTTCACCGCGGACGAGTTTCCTGTTCTATGCAGCATAGTCAGTTGGGCGACTTGTGGCTGTCGTTTAAAGAGCAATATTAATTTGCCAAGTGATGCAACTTCAGACACTGCTAACAAAATTTCCTCGAAATTAGACGAACGTGAAGTTATCGGGCGCAAAGCTAAAACACTGCTGAATTGGGGTCGTTTGGTCTTTTTGAAGAGCGTTGGATTTCAGGCTGAGCTGCTTTATTATATTTCCACCGATATCTCGTTAGAAAATATGTGTGTTGTGGCTACTCGAGAATGTTCGTCATAACTGAAATATGTTGAATTTATTGTCAACTTGTACATTGTCTTAAAAATTATTTTCATTTTTTCTTAATAAATTACTTATTTACGTAAATATTTATATTTCGATCAATATATCAACATGAGTTTGGCTGTTACCGTCCGTTGATTTCCGCTTTTACTTGTCGTCTCAGTCGGTATAGTTAATTTTTTAATTTATCAACCTCAAACTTACCGACACGCTTAATTGAATAACGAGTTGAAATAGTACGCAAGTCACAAATAATCTCCCCCACTGAATAAAATGCCCCGCCCAATACGAGTGATCTAACACCGTTCAAACATTCCAGCGTACGTTCGATGTGGCGTGTGGAGTTGATCCAACCACCTGCTCCTTTTCTTATCGCCCAACTTCCAGGGAAGCGTTTTACCGCCAAGTAGAATTGGTATCGACGGCACGAAGAGAGAAGAAAAAAAACGAACCGCCATTGAGGTATGCTTAAGTCGTGAATAGGACGCGCGTGACCCGTGGAATTTATACGTAAGCATGTATACACACCTGCTTTTGACCTAAATCAATATCTATTTTTATCTGCCTGCGCGTACTTGTGCGTGCCGTAGTAAAGATTACCGATAACGATAGCTACGCGATTCATCAATCGGTGTACATAAAGTTGTGTGTATATATCCTATGTAGCACGTCGCGCCAAGCCACGCCTGATAGGCTTGCGACATTCTTATTACACTTACAGAACTTCCCTCTTTCCTTTTTTTTTTCAGAAAATAAGCGAGTAACGTGGCCGTTAACGTTGTGACATGTCTATTCTAGACGAGCGCGACGAATACTTGAAGAATCCGTATTTTAAGGAGCATTTGTACGGCGACTTCACCGCATTCTATGTCACAATTGCTCTCTGCACCGTCCTAGGCGTATTTCTATTTGTCTTGAACATCGTGTTCTGTTGGTGCTCGCGACACCGTGAATATTGGCAAGATCGCAACTCCGGTGAGTTTTCTTCAGTCTGTACGTAAGAATACACATCACGTAGTTTCTTTTTACGGGCGCGCGCGACTGATACAGTTTCTCTTATTTTTTAATAGCATATTATCCTGTTGGGATTTAGGCAATAGGTGGATCCAGCCTTTATGGACTGTATTGCCGCATAAAACACCGCCGCTTGATCTTAGCGAATTAGAACCTGGTCTCATCAAGTATCCCCAAGTGAGGCACGAGATTGTTCAGTATCACGATCCGGAGTCTCAGAGTACCACGCCACAACCCCAGGAGTACATGGAGATGCAAAAACGCGAGAGTGAGATCTAAAATAGCTGGCAGTACCAACTGGCGAGAACTGTGTTGGAAAACAGTAATAGTAACACCTACGCTTAAGAATATGTTCAAAGTCAAAGAGTTTAATTGAGTCCAATAGAGTCTAATTAACCCTTTGCACCCAGTTAATTGCACTATGAAGCCTGTGCCTTAGCTACTATACACTGAAACTTTCACCACCAACATTGTTTTCATAGATTTATTGATCTGCTTTTACGTATATTAAAAGAATAATTTTTATTTTTTTATAAAATCAATCTAATTTAAAAATTGAGACACCACTGCGACTTGCTTCGCAAGTTATTTCAATAATTGCACACGACACTAGTTGCAAATAGACTGTAATCTCAGACAGTATAAAAATATCTTATTATGGGCTTGCACGTTTTCTGGCCTGCCACGGCCTGCCTGACTCTCTTCGTAGTTTGCATTATAATCGTGATGCTGAAGTATGGCGCACGTCTCTGCAAATTACGACACGAGCCATTGCCATCTGATCAAGAATGGGAAGGCAAAGCGTATTCCAGAAAACTATCTCTCTCCATGGCGTGAAAACAAAATATTACCGTCTCGAAAATGTACTCGCACAGCTCTTTCATTTAAAAAATGAAACTGCCGATTAGTACTTTTGCTATAAACGTAAATTGAACGTAAATAACTTCCAAACTATTTATAACTGCTTTTTCTCTGTGACACACATTTCATATATAGACAGAATATTGCGTATACACAATACTGGTCATGTAAGTTAGATGATTATATCCGTCCATTTACTATGTATTTGTACTAATATATTTTTTAGTAATATAGACTCGTACGTGCCTTTTTCGAAAATTAATGCAATTCCTAAGGAATTTTTATGAAATGGAATTATATATAAATTATAGCAAAACGTTGAAAAAGAACTTTTTATGTCCGTCCACATGTCTCTTTGATATTATTAAATATACATTGTTCGAATAATTTTTTAAGTATAATGTTGATAATTGAGCACTTTTGTAATTTTTATATTGAATTCATATTATGAATAAAACACATCATAAAATCTCTACTTCGAAGATCTTTTTACGAAATTGTACAAACCCCGATCGACGCAATTTGAATGGATCACATCACTCTTGTATATATAATATTTTACTTTTATTGACAACATTGGATTTTTGTTACATGTGTAATGGTTACACAATTATTTCAATAAGTAAGTAGATGCATTATACAATTTTTATAGTAGTTCGTAAAGAAAATCATCGATTTTATCGAGCTACAGTACATCCAAAATTCAGGAGCTATCCTAGCTATACGATCTGATGAAACTGTATAATATATAATGAAACAATCGCGCGATCAACGATTTATACAAATAACATTTAACAATTATTTATCTAAATCGTTGCGAAACAGTTATTGATTTGTATAACAAATTGACGTCTTTGGAAAATGTACAATCGAATTTGTTTAATTTTAACGAAATACGTAGAAAATTTTTAGCAATCTGTCATATCAATGGAAATGGTCAAAGCAGTCTAATACAATTTCTATAGTTTCACTAACAAGATTAAACCATCAACAAGATCGACGATCATGAAACTCAACGGTCCGTAATTAGAAGAGTGATTGTATGTCTCTAATTATTTTAATTCTAACGAATAAAGTTTTGAACGATTCTCTTATTATAATATCTAGAATATCTATGATTTATATATATTTCGTAGAATGCAGTGCACGAAGGTAGCAAAAAGCTGTCCTGGAAGAATTATCGAGAGGGATTTTTCAGAGCGGAACTATATAATATAAAAGACGAAAATAAAAATTGTGCTATAATCTTTCTTGATAGTGTTGGAGCGCAGGTGCCGATTTGCAGAATTTAATTCACGACTTGTTAAAAATTTGCATAGTCAAAGAGAAATCCATTTCGAAGTTTCTCCAAAGGAGCACGGACATTTGCTATCGACGCACGCATTCTCTTCGAAACATCCTGTAGTTTTATCGAAGGATTTGAAAAATTAGTCTCTAGGTTTACTGATGTATCTTTCTATCATGCTATGTTACAATGCGATTAAAACATGGATTTCTGCGAACTCCACATAGAGAAGTCAAACACGAGAGTCGTTACATCTGTTTTACATTACTAAGATAACTGCACGACGCATTCGGATGGTTCAGAAATTCCGCAATCCTGCACGATCATTAAGAACATAAGATTCTTATGAAAACTAAGAGGCGTGCAAATTCGCGCATTTCATAAAAATTGTAATTTAATAAGATTGCGCTTTTCCGAAATCTTCAGACATCAAAGAAGCTTTTTCGAGAGGATCTCCTAGCGCGAGTGATCTCCGCGAATAGATCACACATGCAATTAGTACGCATTATAAAATAGATGTAACATTCATGGGAGACACATTGAATGCTTTTGCATATAACGAGTCGACTTCCGTGGTATGTCCCTGGTACGAACTGGTCTCGATGCGGAACACAGCTTCGACCTTGGCAATTCGAGGTGGAGGGAACGACGAATGTATGTATCCAATGAAGTCGAGTTCATCGGTTGGAGGAATTTGTGGGATCAGTGAGGACAGTAATTAGCGAAGAGTCCATAAAACGGAGATAACGCTATCCTAGTTTATCGATAAAATTCGCTTCATGCGTAATGATGATATGCTGTAATACAGGAGCTAGAACTAGGCGCTTGACGATGACGCGCGCGCGATTCCGCGCGTACGGCGTCCACAGGGTCTTAGATGAACTCCTGGAGGTCCTCCGAATCCGACGCGTGGAAGAATTCGCCGATAATCTCGACGTTCGTTCTCGACTTTCGGAGCTAAAGGATCGAGCCTCCGTCGTGTATCGGAGATTTAGATGGAGATGAGGAAGAGATATCTTCAAAATATTATATGCTTGTATGTGAAAAATACTCTCTCCTCGGGTCTCATCTACCCCTATGCATTCTTGCGAGACACATCCGCATGACGCAACTCGCGTGTATATATACCAAATGCGCAAACAGGCTTAACTTCTTGTCATCGACGAGCTCTCCGGTTATACATCTAGACTTAAAAACGAATTACAATCTTGTATGCAGGGAGGAGGGATTTGATTTTTGTAGTGTCGAAAAGATATCCAGTGATCTATCTCTTTTTTTCTCTTTCTCTCTCTTTCCTGCACGCGCGAGCGTGCATGTTTGATGAGACGACGAGTTATTTCAGTTTGATTTTCATGCTCATTGGCGAGTTTCCATAATTGCCAGTTATCACTTGATACAATATTATTATAACGTTAATTGCGAATATTAACATCGGAAGTGACAACGTCCTGCCGAGAGGAGCGCGGAGGATTCCGGATAAATTCATTAGGCTCGCGCGAACATTCTGTGCTAAATAATATAGTATATTTTTTTCGCATTTTAATTTAATTCTCTCGACAAATGTCATTTTGATGTGTACCGTTTGATCGTTCGTTCGTTTTTGATTTCATAATTTTTGATTCATCGTGACCGTTTTGAAGATGCCACACAGGACGGATGCTTCTCGCTCAAGCATCCTTATTTAAATTGATGAACCTTCGCGACGGCGTAATAATTGTCGGAATATCTCGCGCATGTTATATGATACAGGACACAGTTACTTTGAACACCGAACATTGTATATTTACGTGACAATCGAATGAAAGCTGTTTAGTATGACAAATATTGTACATGATTTTAAGTGGATCAACAGCTAAGCCAAATGGGGGTCGCTGCTGCTTCTTATGTGATAAACAATAATATTAATAATATTAATAATAATATAATATCGCTGCGGGAAGACGAGAGAACAACTTTGGCGGATGATCTTATCCTCTGCGAACCTCCGAAATGGCGGCTGCTGCTAGTCAAGGAGCTCTACGATGTGTCCTACTCTCATTAATCAAACAATCAGTGGTGCAGATTTTGCAAGAACACGCTAAGAAAGCTAACTCCTGAATCCTTACAGATCTTTAAACATCCGAATTCACAAGTCATGAAAAAATGTCGCATCGAGAGATGCGAGTGTCAAATTCGCGAAAATTCAATGCACAAACTGCATCACTATGTGTCTAGACGATCGGCCCTGTTCAGCTTTCGTCATCTCAAACATGTTACGTATCGGTTCCCAATCAATTCTTCGGTTGATTGCGCGGCTTAACCCTCCAAGATCTCACCATCGTCCATTTTTAGAATACCTTTATGCGATCAATAACTCCTCTAACAGGGGAACTCGTTGCAAATTATGTCAATGGGTTAGATAGAAGAGTCTCTTCGACACAGGCATACGCTTACGAACATATTTTTCATACAAACCTCAGACCTATTATTAGATGTAACCAATCTAATACGTTTACTCGAAAGTTGAAGTTGTCAAAACATTTAAGCCAAAATTTAACGCGCAACATACACCTGTTATAAATTATTACTAATTAATAGTAATACAATAGCACAAGAAAACCCTGGAAGGGTTAATAACCGAGTTACTGCCGAGAACAGATGTGATCACCGAAACGTATGCAGTATCCCGTAATTATTAACAGTAATTAATCGACGGCTGCAGCGCACTTTAAAAACGGTTTACAGTTACGCGGTACGCATCTGCATCCAAAATGCAAATGATTCCTAGGCAGTAATATATATATATATATATATAT